CCGAACTTTGGCCCTCCAGCATTTAAAAGAATCGAGCAGCTAAAATGAGATCCTGAACAGGTTCGTATCAAGTACTCACAGTGGATGTCGCCAATCTTGGAATCCGCCATCACTTCAGCTCACCACTCAAATTCACCTTCTCGAGTTTTTGTTTCAACTCCACGTTCAAAGTAGATTTAACTCTGTATAGCTCAAGGTCACGTAGTTATCAAGAATAATTCGAATTATTTTCCCCCACACAGAAAAAGCACAGAAAGGAAGTTGATTCTTTTCTGTCTTTTTACGTGTCTATTCTTTTCTACACAGAAAAGGAGTGCCTTCCTTTCTGTGTTTTTTAAATATCTTCTATTTTTTATATTTGATGATCTAAATAAATATTTTTCACGTGAACATGAAACAGGAAAAATTTCCTTCTGTAGTCTACTCTATTTTTGACTAAATTTGTAAGGAAAAAACAGATCACAGTGTTTTCATTGCCTTGAATATATTCTCTGGAAAACCACGGAAAAGCTAATTTTTTACGAAAAAAATCGAAGATTTAAAAAATTTTGAAATTCCCCCTTTCCTATATATCAATTTCCTATATTTTGGGCTTAAAAATTTTTCAAAGTGGGCGGAGTCTAGTCGTGATTATACTCATTTTGAAGTCCACATGATGAAAAATTGATATATTCGAAATTCATGAAGTTCAAAGCAAAACTGGCTTGGTCTTACTATTAGGGGACTACTGCTGGTGGAAAACTTGTAACATTTCAAACAGAACGGAGCTAGTTTTGACGGAGTCCGTTGACTTCAAAATTTTATGCCAGTGAATGAAGTAAAGACTATCGTTGATGAGGCACAGTCTGAAATTGTTCTCTTGTTTCATTTTTTTAGCCCGAAAACTGAATACGAGTGATTTTTAGATTGTGCTCTGATACAATCAAAACTTTGTGTAAATTGTATTTTTACAGGATTATCATTCATTACTTTTTTTTAAAGTGTAGATTGCATAGTTTTTTCGAATAGCAGTTTTATTTCACAGTAATGCAAAATGAAGATAGTTTTATGAGATAATTGAATTGTCTTTTCACCGGGAAACATCATAATTATCGTTATAAAATGATACATGAAATGAAGGGAGATCGTGATATGGGGGGCTCAAATGGACATAATGATGATATCAATTTAAAAATTAGAATGACACTGATAAATTTAGGCCTATCAAAAACTGAATCAGTAGGAAATTGTGTCATAAACGAGAGGTGCTGAGTAAACGAGATGTTTGAACTCGGAGACGTCGACAGTAACCAAGTCTTCAGGGACCTTCTCCTGAAAAGTCAATTGTTGGAATTTTATTTGATCTTTGTTTTTATGAAACGCGATATCTGTATATGCCAGTGAATGTAGGGAACCGTTAACAAATGCTTATCATTGCTTGGTCACACGAACGGTTCAAGAACAGCTTCTCAATCTTCGATTCTCCTATTTTTTTTGTTCTCTTCCAGTTACAAAAATCAGAAATCGACAAGGTCGGAAACGTCTCTACTTTTTGACCAACCGGTGTCACCCAATAACAACAAAATGATTGATGGATTTGAAATGGGTGGCAGGTGGCACAACTAACTTTTTTTCTTTTTTGACTTACATGATGTAGTTTCGTTGAAGCATAATATGGTGGAGGCGGACATTGATGCATTTTCAGATTTTCAGTTTTCTGCTCCAAATCGGCGAGTTGGCGTTCGAGCTCGATGATATGTGCAAGGCTATTTAGGAGTATCTGGAAAGTAATGAAACATTGAATATGAGTAATAATGGGTTCAGAACAGTTGAGGTTCCTATCAAAGGTATAAAAAAGTTGTCAACTGATCCACCTACAGTAGCTGTTTCATTTTGCAGACTAAACCCATTATTGCGTCAGACTCTCCGTTTGCGTAATTCACCTTTAAAGGTTCATCTTTGTGTAATGTATACACATACTAAAACGTTATTCAATCTATTTTTTCTCAGATGCCCTTTTCCGAATGCGTTCACCCTTTGAAAAATGAGAAGAAAAGAAGAAAGAAGTACACGAGAAATGACATGATGAGAGAAAGAGACCTACCCGCACGGCGGCAAAAAACTCGTTTGGTTTCTTTCAAGAGAATTGCCCTTTTCAGATGATAGATAGGAGTAAAAAGCTCGTTCACTTACTTGACACACAATTGGATCTTTTGGAACCTCACTGATGTAGTCTTTGAGACGATCGTAAATGTTTGCTGAACAGTTTTGAGGTGGTGGAGTGGAGGTCCTGAAAAATAAATTGTTTAAAAAACTCAAAATTTCAAAAATGCTTACATTGTAGAACTTGAAGGGCTGGCGGAGAGACTTGAACAGTCAGAATAGGTCGAAGTGGATGAGTTCTTACGTTGACGGTATGGATGGTAGTGGAAGGTGTCCTAGAAATGCAATGGGTTTCATTAAGATTATCTGTGGAGTACTGTAGGTCTTGCTATTTTGAAATTTTGAATGATAAGACAAATATGTATGAGGATGACAACAGAAGAAAATGAAAGTTGGAATCAAACACAGTACCCCAAACTCTAAAACTCACCGAGCTCTGATTTTGCTCCATTCGTCTCATCGCTTCACATGTGTAATCCATTGTTTATCTTTCAAAAAACAACGGAAACAATCCGATCCGAATTTAGGAAACTGAACCGAATCAGTCAGCTGTGTGTTGAGTAGTCCTCTAAGATTTCGAACAATTTCCGTCTTGGCTCCGCCCACTTTTGGCGTCGTGCCTTCCGTGCCAGGAACCAATTCTCTCGATTCTCTTTTTCTAGTGTACTGTCTGTTTTTTGGTGGCGACAGCCACCGACGGGTACGACGACGAGAGTGAAGAAGAGATGAGAAGACATAGAGAATAGAAGACGTTTTGAAAAAAATTGAGATGAGGAAAGAAGAAAAGGGCGCCTGGGGGAGAAAGAACAATTTTTCATACATCTGCCACCCTGAGAGAGGAAAGGAAATGGTATAGAGAAAAAGTTGTTTGATTTGAAATTTTTTCGCGCGCAAAATTGTTTAGGAGATGAAACATTTTTGGAAAAGAAGATAGAGTGAAAAATTGAAGGAAGTGCGAGAAAAGATGATGGGAGGTAATTGATATGTCAGTGGGGGAGAGAAAAGGATACTGTAGATCTGTAGATAAACAGATTTATTTAGATTAGGATTTGGCTAAAAGGGATTCCATCGAGAGTATATTTCTATACAAGGTGGAAGAGTTAGGTTTTAGAAAAGAAGATGACAAAGGTAGAACTCCGAAATGAACATAAACCATTTATTTACAACTCCTTAAACCTCAGGAGTTCAGGAAATTCGGAGAAGGAAATTTGGGGAATTCGGGAAAAGCGCAAATTCGAAAACAATCGAATATTAAAATTAGAAAATTAAAATAAATCGAGATGTTAAAAATTCTATAATTTGCGAATTCAGGCTTTCAATCGAGAAAATCGGTTTAAAATTTCGGACATTTTAAAATTAAGGAATTTCGAAACTTCCAAAAATCAATAATCCTGAAATTCGGAAAGCTTGAGTTCGGATATTGAAAAATTACAAACTTGAGAAATTCGGGAATTCAGATATTTCGGAATTTCAGAATCCAAAATTTTTGGAAATTCGAAACATTTAAAAATCAAACTTTCAGAAATTGAGGGGACTCGGAAACTCGGAAATTAAAAATTCAGGTACAGTAAGCGGAAGCGGAACTTTCCAGAAATAGCTTGCCAAATGAAACCGTGTAGAAAATTCAAAAACTTGAAATGCGGAAAGATGAAATTCAGATCTTTTTGTTCAAATTCTTAAGAAAAAATAAAAACTATGATGAAAGGCTTCTGAAAAGTTTGAATCACAAGTCCCCCCATAACTGAAGAATAAATTCACTTAAAAATATGTACATATTTATTTTTAGAATTAGAAAAAAGTTTTGAAATCGTGATAAGAATAATTACACAGTAGACATTATAAAACAGCTAGCACGGCTAGAATCAATTAACACTAGAAAAATTCCAGCAAACTAAGAATTTGTACACAAATATCAAGGTATGGAATCATCTTTAAAAATGGTAATCGTTCTCAGCAGTTTTCGTTTTGGTTTCGGCTCCGATGTATCCAAAAACTCTTTCAATGCTTGAAAATATTTCCGCTTTGCTGTTTGTTCTTCCTCCGCATCTGCCTTCCTCGATTTGACCATTTTTTCCACCAACTCTGTTTTTCGATTCCATTCCTCTTGAGCTTGAACATTCATTAATCGCAATGCCTCGATCACACATCTACCCCACATCACTCTCATCTGTGAATTCTTTTCTTTTTCTCGAGCTTCTTTCAGAATTTTGTATGGAAATCGATTCTTCCAGACTAAAAAATGAAGTCGTTTTCCATGGAACAACACAGTTGCGAGCTGTCCATCTTCTCGAAGAATATCTTTTGAGAATTTGCAATCATAGAAACTATGGGGATCTCGAATTGTGCTCTTCATTAAGTATTGACTGAAAAAATACAAGTTTTTTTTTCAAATTCTCAAATAACTCACTCAACATCAAAATACTCTCCTTCTCTTTGTTTCGGATCCCAATCCAACAACACGAGGCCATTGGTAATCGCTTTTTTATTTTGAAATGCCTGTGGACTCAAAGTAATTTCAAATCGTTCCGTTCTTATCTGGTTCGTATCGAGAAACATCCATTGCATAAGAAACGCATTCAAATCGTCAGCTGTTAGATTGTTGTGTCCGATATCGGCGGTTGCACAATTCAGAGATAACACATGTTCACGTGTCAACCATTCTGGGTCATCGAGAGTTACATTCGAAGCGTTGATTAACTGAAACAAATGTGTTTGAAAAGAAAGAGGCCAAATTTGTGTTTATATTTCAAAACACGTTTCCCTATATTTAAAAAAACCAAGCTTGAAAAAAACCCAAGCTTGAAAATGGGCCTTATCCTAATGGTGGGCCTTGCCTTATTTTCTTTCAGAATCAAAATTTTTGGGCCATCTGTATCAGATAGAACTCGACGAGCACAACAAAATAAAAATACTTAGAAAACTGTGTCTTGTCGATGAACCAATTTACAGACGGAAGGGCTAAAAAAACAAGACAAGGGCAAGGCCGGATCAGCCCCTTCCTGGCTTATAACTTTGTTCATAGACAAGATACAGAATTTCAAATAGTATCAGTTTGTAGAATTTGCTGAGTTCTACCTATCTGACGCAGTTTGTTCAAAAATATTTATTTTAAAAGAAAAACAAACTCTCACCTCATCTTGCATACACAGGGCTCCAACTTGATGAGAGACTCGTATGGATCGATTGATTGGCAGACATTTCAAAATACTTTTTATCCTATGAGGCTTCGGTGGTTTCGAACCAATCAACCGTAAGTGTTGTGCAGTTTGGAAGGATGATTGTGCACGAAACGCTGCAACGGACCTCTTATCATTCACATTCACTCCAACATAACGAGTGGCTTTTGTTGCATCGAAAATCGAGCATAAATCTTTCTGTGTCTCCAGCATTCCCATTAAAAAATCAATTGGAAACATTGTCCCTTGCATTGCTTTCACTTCCTTTGGATGGGTTCTGAATATGGATTTCAATTGTTTTTTTAGAAAAGAAAAGCTGGAAACTTACAACTTTGTGTATAAGTAGCTTTGAAATTTTGCAGGTTTCAGATAGTATAAGTTATTCCAAAATCTATAGTTTCCATCTCCTTTCTTCCACATATAGAATACACAGGCAGTATATTTGTATCTATGCCTATCGAAATACACACCGACACATGATTTTTCGTCATCAAATCGTAAGTAAATGTTTCGAATCGAAAGAGGTTTATGCTTTTTGACTTGTTTTTTCAATTCCGGAGAAGCCTTTGCAAGATTGTAACTGGAAAACAATTGTCTTGTCAAATGAAAACATTTTGAAAACTCACCAATCCACAGGGTTTAGATGCTCGTACAAAATCTTTAGTCCCTTTTTTGGTATTTTCAAAATATTTATATATTTTTCGGGAGCTTTCAATTCTTCATGTAAAAAGTCTAAAAGGCTTGGAGGAGACAAAGAACTCGATGAGCAAGGGCCATCGGAAGGTTTCATTTACTGAAAAAAAAAGAAATTTGATGAAGGATCAGAAAATAGTTGTAAGAGGACAAACGGTTCGGATGAAACAAAAAGAAAAAAGAAATATAAGACGAATGGTTCGGGGGGAAACGGGACTATAGAGAGAGAATAGAATAAGTCGAAGGGGACGGGCAAAGACGCAGAGAGATAGACGGTCATACAACATATAACTGCCAACAACTGCATTCGTCCCGAGTCGTTTTATTGATTTTGGGTGGCAAGAAGAAGAAGAAGAAGAAGAAGAAGAAGACGACTACAGAAGAAGAAGAAGAAGAAGAAGAAGAAGAAGAAGAAGAAGAAGAAGAAGAAGAAGAAGAAGAAGAAGAAGAAGAAGAAGAAGAAGAAGAAGAAGAA